CCCTCCCTCCGACTCGCCCCCGCCCTCCTCGTCCCCAGCCCCGTCCCCCTCCAGCAGCCCCGCAAGGCCGCCAGAGTCCGCGCCAAGCACCAAGATGTTGGCCTGCGCCGCGCGCCGCTTGCGCTTGCGCACGCGCCGCACGGCGCTGCTCAGCCCCTCGGCGCCCGCCTCGTCGTCTGAGAGGTCGCTAGCGTCGGCGCCGTCCGCACCCGGCACGGAAGCGAGGGCGGCGGCCTCCTCCAGGGCCCGCTGGGCGCGGGCGGTCTGGGCCGCATCGGGCGGTGGCGGGGGGGGGGGAGCACGTGCAGCAGCACAAGGGGACGCCACATTTCGTCATGAAGAGGTGAGCAAAAGCTGAGCATGTGGCTGTCCAGGCATTTTGGGCAGAAGATTCCGCCCCATGCCGAAGTCTGGCGGCTGGGTAGCAGGAGGGAGCATTGGGGAGAGTGCCGATTGCTGGCCCTCGCTGCCACGAAAGCGGCCGCCTGGCGTCCCAGCACCAGTGTTTGCGGCAACGTCGCCTCCTTTTGCCTGGCCACCCCGAAGGCTCGCAGTCCAGCCCCCACCTGTATCTCTGCCGAGCGCTGCTGCACGTCCGGCGGCACCTCGCGGCCCGCGGCCGTGTGGTGGGCGGGCACGTAGTCCTCTATGCCAAAGTTGGTCTTGCCGATGGCTGGTACATTTGCGGGGCGGGGCAGCGATTACGGGTGGGTTCAGGGGAAGAGAGATGGGTGATGAGGTCGAGGATAGGTTGCAAGGACGCCACGACGGCAGGGGTGATCAGGCGTGGGGTTTGTGGGGGAGTGGAAGCGTCCTGGGTTATTCCCTAGTGACGATGGCAATTCAGGTTGCCGTCGTGCTGGCCCGTGGCGCACGCAAGTGCACATTCCCAATGCTATCGTGGTGGCCATTGCTGAAGCGGCATACGAACACGTGGTTGATTGCGTGCGAGCGTGTGTGTGTGCTGCAAATATCGGTGCGTGTCTGTGCGCGTTTACACCAGGCAGTCCGTGAGGTACCAACCGGCGACGTGGCGCAGCAAGACGGGGCGAGCTCACCTGCGTCGTCGCCGTGCAGCTCTACCAGTTTCATGTCGTACGCCCGCCCCGCCTCCTCGGGAGTATCGAAGTAGCCCATGAAGATCTGGTGACGGGTGTCGGGGAGGGACAACAGCAACGAGGTTTTTGTGGGTTCCGGCAGCAAGCGTGGGGTGTCCGTTATGCCAGCGAAGTCACAATCAGTGAGAAAGGCTCGCTTCTGATGGTGGGCGCCCTGCCGTCCGTCAGAGCTGGGCGGAGGCGACCGTGGGAGGCTGTTGCGCCCACAAATGGTGCGCAGGTTAGAGCGGGTTTTACCCCCCAGCCGGCACGCCATGTCGGCTTCCGAGGGGAGGAGTATGCGGCAAGCTTGACGTGGTGTCGCACACCGCGCAACCCCTCCACCTTGCGGTTGTGGTAGCCGAGCTGTGACCGCCAGCGGCCAGTCTTGCGGTCCCAAAACACGCCCCTTGGGAGCAGGGAGGGTTCACATTCGTGATGAGGGTGTGCAAATAGCTGACTGGGCAGCCAGGCAGCAGGCGACTGACAAGATCAGACCAGCGCTGCTTCCTTGGACTGCCAACCTGAGGGCGCTCTTCTGCTCTGCAGCCATAGCGGCGGCGGCGGCTGCCGCCGCCGCGGCGCCGCCCTTGTGA